GAAAGAAAAGAAGCTATTAAAATTGTAATAGCTAAAAGGCTTTGTACAAAATATTCTTTTATATTGTGAGGACCTTCTCAACTTTTGTACTCTGGCCTGCTGAATTTTGTTTATTACTTGGCATTTTAGAGGACTGCCAATGTGATTTGATCATAATTAAACCATAATGCTAGAAAAGTTTGAAAAATATTTAACCTTGCAACAATACAGGACCTTATTGAATATTATGAGGAAGAAATAGCTGCAAATACAAAAATTAATCTGCTGTCATAGGCAGGAGACATAAAATATGAAATCTTGTTTTTTAGATACTCAGTTTTGTACTTGTGTGCCTGTGAGTTCTGTTGTTCTTGTGTGAGTTCTGTTTCATAACTTGTATATTTAGTTTTGCAATAAAAAAAGAAGAAAAATAATTTCTATTTTACATCTGTTCATTGTCGAAAATTAATTGGATTTTGACATTTTTTTGTCTGCAGCTAAATACCACAAAATAGCTAAAACTGGAAGAATTGACTTCATTTTCCTGTATATTTCATAGTTTCCCCAACCCTGCTTCAGCTGAGGGACACAAACCTATGTTTTTGTACATGGTCCAGGAAAAGAGACACAAGGAGGGAGAGAGTGACATCTTCTCCCTCTGCACTTAGTGTGGGTACATGGTGCACTCAGAAGTCCCGACCTGATGAATGTTCTGACCAGCACCTGGTCAAAGTGTCCTCTAATGCCCACCTGGGAAATGCCATGCATTACTTCTTCATGAAAAGTCAGGTGCATCAGAGAAATGAGGATCTGACAGGGACCCAGGCACAAGAGGAGTTAAGCACAGTGATATTAAACCACAGCCAAAGCTTATCTATCCCACCTTAACTAGGAAGTGCTTCCTACATCCATCTCTATAAATGCAGTTTCTGAGCACTTACAGAAGATTACCCACTCCACATATTCCCATTACACAGTCTTCATCCAGAGGTCCATCTAAGCAAGCCTCATACCTGATGGGAGGCTAGAGCAGATGCCTGTGGAAGCTATCAAGGTAAAACAGAACTTAGTCTCCAGGAACCTCTGGTGCAGGAGCTCCCTCTCCTAGTGACAATGCCTGTGAACATAACAGCACCAGGTGAGGTTTAGATTGGATATTAGGAAAATTTTCTTCACTGGAAGGGTGGTCAAGCATTGGAACAGATGGTGCAATCACCATCCCTGGAGGAGTTAAAAAATGTGTAGATGTGGTGCTTAGGGACGTGGTTTATTGGTGGATCTGACAGTGGTGGGACTCAATCATCTTAGAGGTTCATCTTCCATGAATCCATTCAAATAATTTTTTAAAAGCATGCAAACTTTCACTACCTTTACCAAACTTTTCTGTGTAAAAATACATTATCATGAGCCCCTCTTGCCTAGAGTTAAACATAAAATCCCCCCTAAACCATTGCACAGCACTGTACACAGTGCAAGAGGAAAACCAGAGTACACGGAAACCCTGATGGGCATTGCTCTGAGGGTTTGCTCATGGAAAGCAAACACCGGTGACTGCAGCCCTGGGCTGCAAAAAGAACAGAGAACGGGCTGTGCCTCCTGACACCCCGTGCATCCTGGGCTGCTGCAGTTCAGGGAAGTAACATGTGACTTCACTGCTGGAGGAGATTGTAGGCAAAATACACACAGAAATAGAGAGGGGAGGGGAGGTTGGCGCTCCCTAGCGGCTGTCCCGAGCAGACGGGCCGCACCGCGATCCCTGCCGGGTTTGGAATCGGGGAATCAGGCCCTTGGCAGGGGAGGAGAGACCGGGAAAAACGCTATCAGTTTTAAATGGCTTGTATAATAAAGCTTTACTGGACTCAAAGCTGAGCTTGGTTTTTGCTTCTGAAGGCTTGTTTTTGTTAGACAGCCTCGCCTGCGAGCCCCCTGCCAAGGGCAGCCTGACAGAAGCACAAATCCCAAAACTGTTGGATCAGATGAGGCTGGGGAAAAGCTGAGGCAAGGGGCGATAATACATGGAAAATATATGGTTGTGAGTCCCTTTGATACGGGTATTAGCAGCCTTCTGTCTCACTGAGAATTGCACTAGAAATACATACCTGGGTTTGTCTGCTCATGTGTGATTTCTACAGACACACCCACAGCTAAAAAATGAAATGATAGAGAAGAAAAGCTTTCTGTAATTAAAGGACCTTTGTAACTAAAGGACCATTCCCTTCTATACTTGTATTATATCTTTGTGTAATTCTGAATAGTACAGTATCATTTGCACTGTTCTGTATAAGGAATATTAATTAGAGCATGCTGCACAGTAACAACTTCTGGTTGATGAATATAGAACATGTCAGCAAAATCTGTGTCCACTGAAAGCCATAGATGCCTTTCTCTCCTCAATTTTAACTCATTTTACAATGAGCCGCTAAATGAAGTGCATCCTATCTTTATAGATTAGAACACCTAGCAGATCGATACCCAGCCTGGAAATGGGTGTGCAGGTTTCCCCTTCTGTACAGTACCCCTTCTGTAAATAACTTAAATTCTATATACAGCCATACTAACAAGAATCCCACAAATCCTATGCCAAGGGACTGTCTGTGCTGGCTTCTTGTTTGGCAATGGGACAATACAGGGCATACTTCAGAGGGAGACATGCAAAACAAAATTAAAGTCACCAGAAAGGTTTCTTGTGACCAGAATGGTCAATAACTAAACAATTTGAGTTCACCAAACTGAGATTTACAAACTGAAGACATACTACTAGAAAAAGAAAACAAAAGAAGTGCAGTTTTGTAGCATCAGAGATTATATGTCTTTAAATGGCAACTTCTCATAGTTTGAAGTATCATTCCTGATATTCCAGATATTAAGTGCAGTTAAACCAAGGTACTCTTTATTTGAAACACTCAATTGGTTTATCTTAATATGCTACACCCTATATGTTCCTTTATATTACAGTTGAAACAAGACTGGGAAATAACCAACACATTACCAGTCCTAAAAATGGCCACACAAATCTTATGCTATCTTATGACAGTTGGGAACCATCAGCTGCAAATATAAAACACAGGCCCCTGGAAACAGTTTAATGTCCTTGAATGTTCTCTGTGTTTAACTAAAAAATTTATTTGTTTTCCAGTTGTTGTTTTTTTGTTTGTTTGTTTGTTTTTTTCCTAGGGAGGAAATGGAATGAACCTTTGAATACAATACCCATCAATCATACGGAAAATGGTCTCTTTTCATTGCTGTATTTAAGACATGTACCAGGAAGCTGCCAACTAATCTCTAGCACTCTGATTTTCTAGGCATACTCGACATTTTAGAACAATGTCTATTTGCAAGGATGATTCTTTAATTATCTTTTCAGGTCCATCTCCTTTAAGATTTGTTGCTGCCAGCTAATCTAGCCAATGCTGTCAATGGGGAGATTAAAACTCATAATTAAAAGTGATGGAGAAGGAAGGCTTGCACACCAGATGATGAACAACAAGCCTCAAAAGTTTATTGGATAGGCACACACATTTATAGCAGTGTTAATAAGGCTAATGCATATTGCAAAAATTGAGCTCATCATTGGTTAGTCATTTATCAGTCAACTACGTCTACGTTTACATTCTTGTGTTCACCTTGTTATGGTTTCTACTATCGTTCCTTCATTCTTGCTAGCTAACGAGCTTCTCCCACAACCTCAAGTTTGGCAAGGGCACAGTGACCTTGCCGCTGTTATCTTCGTCTCCTTCTTGCTTCCAGCATGATCTTTGTTAGCTAGCTAACTATCTACAATATCCTCTACATTTCTCCTGTTTGTATCTCAGGCAGATTAATCTGGCTGTGGCCCTTATCTAGGTGCCAGCTTGTTACAAAGCTCTCAACATAAAAGTAGTAATATCTGCCAGCACAAGTCTGCAATCTTCATTTGGTACCTTAATTTTTAAGCAGGAATTCTAATTAAGCCAAAAGCAGCCTCAGGGTGTCAGTAGAATATAGCTGTATGCATCCAAAGTACCTACTTAGACTTCTGCTCACAGGCTCAGATCTGGTTGTCAGAACAGAGGCCACACCATCAGACTTACAAAGGCCATTACACTTGCATGAAATAATTTACCCACTGGCATTCTCCAGTAGGATTCTTGTGCCACAGGACTCTTTCTGACATAAGAGCCCTAATACAGTGACAACATCCAGACTTGCAGCCAGAATTAATACCGTTTTAGAGCTCCGGTTCTTGTTAATCTTTGTGCAGAAGCTCTTTCATTTGAGCATCTACTTTTGTAAGTCTGCTTGGTCAGGCTACTGTTCAAAGCACTTGCATTCCTGATAAGGCTGGTGTGAGGGCAGGCTGAAGAGGATGTACAGACAATCTCTTCACCTTTAATTTCAAATACTGCAGTGTTTAACAAAACCAAGCCCCCACTGTGCTCAGAGAATTCAGTCTCCCCCAAGAGCAGGGCCTATACCCTGTCACACAATGCCTCCACAAGGCCTGAAGTATTTTTCCTCAAGCTACTTCCTACCATGCTTCTCCTGTAAGTCCCCATAAGGACTGTCCTCAGTTTCTCTCTAGCAGAGAGGAAACCTTCTGCTTTTAGCAACTTTTTACCTCCAACTGTTAAAGACTAGTCAAATATACAACAAAAGAGGAATCTTTTCTCCCCCTTAACCTTGTAGCATACCCTATGAAAAGCTTTGTTTCTTCTTATGGCTACATAAATCTGTAGGAAGAAGTCCTACACAGTGGTGGTTCTGAATTGATGATGGTTTTTGCTCACTGTATTTATGCTTGGTTAAAATAAAAAACAGCAAAGAGGAGTTTTTAACTATTTTCATTCTACATGATATTACAGAGCTGGTCTGCTAAAACTGAAACAAAGATGAGAAATACCATGCCTAGCTGCTACAGATTTGATGCTAGATTCCAGAAACACTGTACTGACAATATTCACATTTTTATTGATATTTTTCTATTTTTACTGACAGAAATTCAAAGAATTCACAATCCTTAGTTTTAAATGTGTTTACACAACTTAAGTTGGTTTTATTCATTGCCACATGATCGTTCACAAAATGAAAGCCACTAAAAATGAAAAACAAAAGATCAGGTCCATATATCCAAAAATTAAAACTGCACAGGTTATATGAAAAGATATAAGTTTTCTTTGAAAAAAAGTTTTAATTTGTAGTCAATTGTGAAATAGACAATGGTAGAGTCAAAACTGGATTATGAAATACATTGGCTATGAAAATGAAATACAAAATTGGTCATAGTTCTTGAATGTCATTATCAACCTTACTTGTATAAAAATCAGGCCCTTATGGTATACAAAACCTTATTTATACATTGAAACAATTGTTATCTTGCCTGATAAGGAATATAGAAAGAAAAGCTGGTGCTGGAAATTTAAGATTAAGTATTTTTCCAAAATATTACAATGAAAATGGCAGGTACATATTTTTTTTTAAATAAAATTTGCTGAAACTTCTGGCCAATTTAGATATGTGGAGAGCATAGAAAGAGCACATTCAAAAGTCAGCATTTCACTTCTTTTTATAATTTTTCTGCTGGTTCTGAGATTTTTTTAAGAGGCAGTTGAATAAAAGCTGACAAACACTCAGCTTAGTCCTTTTTTGAAAACCCAGTTTTTCTTAGTATCTTTCTCAAGCTGGAACACTATAAATGCTGACACTTCATAATAAAAATTAGTAACTATATTATAGAAATAGCTAATAAAGTTTTAAGACTGAACTGTTCAAGTGAAAATGAAAGGTATTTGTGATTGCAGTCACATTCCACATAATTGCAAAGAGATATATTTCCATTTTCATATGTTAATGGAAATATGGATAATTGGTTCTCCGAATTTTCATTGAAACTGATTTGATTTTGACTGGCTTTTTGTTCATTGTCCATGTATCCCAGTGAATGCCAGTTTCAAGGAATCTACCTCTGTAGTGATGAACACCATTAAGATTTGCAAGACCACACTTGTTGAACCACCATCCGGTGTTCTCACTGAAGTTACTGCAGCTCTTTACTGTCTGTCCTTTAATACTGCACATAGGCCTGCATCCATCATTATCAACATCAAAAGTGCTGAAAGGCATGGAATTCTGGTTATCTTCTCTTCTGTATCCTCTAAATGCATCACCTAAGTACAACAGATAAAAAGAACAATAAAAAAGTTATTTACAGAGAAATGTTTCTTACTTGATGCACACCGTGCAAACTTTTCCTCTGAATTTATTAGAAAAGTAGAATTCTTCAAAAGTAGTTCAAGAGCACCAGCTGATGAGCTGTAAAAGTGCTAAAGATGCAGGAAAAAAAAAGAATAAAATACTGAGAAATATAGAAGAAGTTAAAATTCAATGAAATGTCTTAGTATTTTCCTTGCTTTTAGCGATTCACACTGGCTATGAAGATGCAAGCTGGCTATGCTGGCTTCTCAAAGACAGAGGAAGAAGAGATAAAAGTAAACAAAAAGGGTTGTGACTTCAGATTTTCCAGTAACATGCTCAAAGCCCCAGAGTGAGTCATGGAACATGACGGAATTGTTAAAACGCAAAGGTCAGTTATTACTGTCTCTGTTGTCTTACTGAAGAACTTGCTGAAGAAATAGTATTCACAAATACAGAGTAAAGCACTAACACCTTTAGAGATTAACTATTTCATTGATAATAAGGACCATTCTTGCATAACATGGAAAAAAGCAGTAAGACATGATGCAATGCTTAATGCAAATCTTTGCATGTTTAGTGTATTTATGCTATCAAGGGAAGTCTGAAATTAATTTGTGTCTATGTATCACCCAGCAACTATTACACACTGTAGGACAGGTTTGTTCCACTCATTTTCTTTCTCTATCCTTTGTACATGACTATCTGGGCACTACTGAATTATCCAAAGCACCATCAGGAAGACTGCCAATAACAGCTGGGATGAGATAATGGGCATCTAAATAATTGAACCATTAGGTAAATAAACACGAACACCCACAAAATCCCTTATTTATTTTATATATATCCTATTCAATTTTTTTGTTGTTTATTACAGGCATAACAGATCACCATATAATTAAAAATTTATCTGCATAAATGCTCATTATATACCAGAGAAAAACACATTAGAAATAAAATTTTTGAAGTTAATTATAATTCATGTGGATGCATTTTTTCATATTAAGAAAGGGAACAACTACCTTTAAATACTTCAAAAAAGGAAGTTCTTACCAGCATTTCCTGAATAATGCCCCAAATGGATCTTAAAATAACATGCTTCATCCTCTATCCAAAATCCATCATATGATGCATAGGCATGCTTGTCATTTTCTGATTCCAAATCCACGTAAAGATTGAAATGAGTGGCCTTTTGATTTACAATATCAAAAATCTTCCTCAGTCCAAGCCAAAATTCTCCTTGAAGAGAAATACAATATATAGTCTAGAAATGGAAACTGTAAAAGAAAAAGTGATTGTTCCTGTTTTTTTACTTTCCTTCCTGAACCAAATGTAATAAATGCTGCATGACACACTTATATTCCTTTGAAAGACTAATGAAGGAACAGAGTAATCTTCCTATTTCCTTAGGAAATCCCTAAGAAAACCCATGTGTGCATCATCCTTTTTCATTCTGTGATATTTTTTTGAAAACTGTCCAGATGATAGATTTCAAATATTCGTCTGCAATATCTCTTAGAAGATCACAAAAACTGGATGTGCTAAAGATCCACTTGCATGAACAGAACTTGGTGGCACTCCTAAGGGCAATACTGAGAAATTATAAATGTTAGCAATCTATGAAATGCAAAAAAAAATGCAAACCCTATCCTAAAAATTTAAGCCCTGTTCTCAACATTTGGTGCCTCCATAAATCACACTTGTAGCCTCATATGAGCTGCACTTCTTTGTACAGAAAAGCTGCATGCTTCCATTGCAATCCCAGATAAACTTCTGAAAAAGCAAATGGGTTTAGACAGGCAGGATTAAATGTGGTAATAAAAAATTAATATCACAGTTGTGTTGGTATAAGCTACTGAAATATGCCCATTGTTTATAACTTTGAATGCCCTATGGTGAAATATTATTGATTTTTCTCTGCTTTAAGGAAATGAGTGATTCAAACAAAAAAAAAAAAGACATCCTTTTTTTAAATCTGAAAATAGAGGAAATACAATCTATTATTTCAAGCAGAAAATATACTATTTTAAACACTCTTGTAAGACTGCAATAGCTAAAGACTCTAGTGGGGTAATAGTCATTATTGGGAAGATCACACAACGGATTTGATGAAAAAAATCCTTAAGTAAAAATAAGACTTTTAAAAACAAGAACTTACTACAGCTAAAACTACCACACAATTTAGTGGAATGTAGCTCACGTAAAAGGGGGAGAAATATGGGATCTAAAGCACTTTAGAGTATTTAAAGTTAATACCAGTAAGGTCACCAAATCCATCTAAATATTCAGACCATGTTCTCTGAAACTGAACGAGTCCATCAGTTCTTTTCTGAACCACAGTCCATCCACCTCCTCGAAAATCCATGTCACACAAAACCTAAAATAAACATAGACATGATTAAGCATTCTTGAAGCAGCTTTTATGAAAAATACATTTTAATTAAATAAAGGTGGACTATTCAGAGTTTTGCTAAGTAACACACTTTTCAAATACATTTTAAAAAAGCTCTAAGAAAAAAATATAAAAGTGCAGTACTTTCTTACATGTTCTTGTTGAACTGTTTGATTTGGATATTTCTTCAACCAGTAGAAAACGCTGTGTGTAATAGTCTGCTCATAACAGATACAATGAATAAGCTTTGGCAGATGTCACTGTAACATCTATAGCATGAAAGGGAAGCAACTTGCAATGTCATGTATTAATCAGGCAACATATCATTGATACAGGTAGCAACACCGAATAAACTTTTATTTCAGCAAATCAAAATAGACAAAACTTCTTATATGTTTTCTGTCACCACCATGCCTTTTTCCAGAGAACACTGTGTTCGTGGTGCCTGGGAAATTTAGAGCCTTTAATAAGGGTGAGGAAATGGAAAACAGTGATAGCAATAACCCAGCATATAACAATCATTTGCAGCAGCAAAAACCTCTACATAAGAAGTGGCCCCGATCCAGGGAAGTCCCAATGTGAACATATAACTGCCTGCAACTGAGCAGTACCACTGAATACATAAGATCAGCTCTCAAATTTATGAGTCTTTAGGAGTCTTTGCTAAAATTTGTGCCCAGCAGTATGTCAAATGGCAGTGGTCCAGCTGCCATCTGCTCTGCTTGGGAATATCACATTATGTGGCAAGTTTTCTCCTCAGCCCATCTAACTTAAGATTTGTAATTGACTTTCCTAAGTATATCCACAGTGCCAAATCTTGATCAGTTCTAACCGGGATCATAAAGTCTGGGAATCTAATTTAAAAGATCACATTGCACATTTATACACTGCACTGCCTAAGATATTCAATGTAGTTCCAAGGGATACTATCCATAATTAGCTTGAAAACAGGGGCTCATTTTTGTCTCCAAAGGTGACTAATGTCAGGAGAATTAACCTGGAAAATGCTTGTAGGTAGTGAGCCAACAAACTTCTTGTAGTAACAAAAGTAAGTTCAGAACATAAAGTTGGCTGTGACAACACTAAGCTGATGCACAAGTGATGGACTAAAGTAAGAAATTTTTTGACATTACAGGAAATATACAAAATGAAATATGTTTCAGAAAATAGAGATTTGCAGTCTTAGCCAGCTGATAAAAATGAAAACTAGGTGTAAGTCAGTTTAACCCTCAAAAAACTTGTGGTAGACTGAGCATTACATGTTGCACCTCCATTGCCTGTAGTAGGCAGATATTTTTCTAAGGTCCTTGTGCATGAAAAAAAAGTGTGACCTTTATTCCCTGGAGAATCACATGCTTATTTCAGACACTCAAGGAGGATATAACTGGAATAAAAAGAAATACAGACGATTCCAAAATGAGTATTTAGATGAAAATACCTAAACCTCATTCAAAATAATCCCATTGCCTCATGCACTGTCTTGAGAAGATAATTGCATGCTTGGCTACTCCTCCGACTATGAGTCAGAAGTACAATGAGGAGCCCACTTGGTCACAACATCAATCTTCAGTCCAATATAAATCAGTGTGAGTGTTGATAATTCACAGAAGGAGCAGATATGGTTCTACATGAAAGGTCATCAGCCAGTTAGATACAGCACCAATACATACACCAGCTAAATAAAAATATTAGATAGAAACAGAAAAATGCAGTTATGACTGTGTAGTTTTCTTAATCCCTTATGGAAATGTTGCAATTGTAAAGCTTTATAATAGTTAATCTGCTTTACAGTTTGCTCTATGTCGTATCATGAAAGGTAAGAAGGACATGATTGTGCCAGGTACAACCTAAATTCAATGAGAAGGAGGGCACTTCTACTGAATATTTCTTCCCTTTCCACCTGCATTGTGTATAAGAGGTATATTCTAAACAACTGTTTAGTTTGTCTGATTCAACCGAGAAATATCATTGATCTAAATTTACTGATTGAAAAATGTATCAGAAATTGGTCATTGTTCATTTTTCCAAAAGTAAAATTGGTTTTAATCACCTCATGAATAAATGCTCAGGAAACAGCCTATTTGAGAGAACTCTCTGAGGTGACAGAAACCTGCCACTACCATTAAAGCTAGGTATTCTTATTGGTCCTGGAATCTGGAGTTCAATCAGCCCAAGTTAAGCATCAAAATCTATACTTACTTTTGGAAACATGAGGTATCAAACATGAAAAATAAGAATGGAATCATGTTTTCTAAGTAGTTTTCATTTAACTGATATCTTTATGCATATTATTCTAAACATATTTTCATTTAGGTTCCATTGCATAAAAAGTCATCTTATTGCTGCAAAGGTCTTGAAATAAATTGTTTCATGTTGGGTTTGTTTCCTGTTTTCTAGTTTCTTCCTATGATCTTCTGCCTCTGTGTTTTTTTCTTATTTTGCTGGTCAGCAGAACATTTAGAACTCTTGGTTATTAGCCTCTAAAAGATGCTTTATAATTTCTTGTTTATATTCTAATGTCTTCACATTTTTGTCTATCTACCATCTCTCTTGTACTCCTTTTATGCTTCAAGACATGAAAGAATTCACATTAAATAGTTTTCCTTAAAATAACATTCTTTAAGGAAGAAATATTCTAGAATTTTTTTCTCTGAGAGCTTTTTGGCACTGTCTTTCAAGTTCTGTGCAACATTTACCAGACAAGAAATGAGACACTCATGACTGCAAACATTCTTCTCATTATTTATTGTTACCTTGTTCTTTTAATCAAATTGCTATGATTTTTCTTTTGTATTTCTGGAATCACCTTCAATCCAGAAGAAATTCTGAGACAGATGCCTTGTTTGCTATTTTTGTTTTGTAGCATTTTGTTCATACTACAAATATGGTTGTTCTGTGAACACTGCAATATCTTTGCCTTTCTTTTACATGGAAGGCACTTACTGATGAGTTACAGATCTTTTTCCTCAGCTCACTTCATTGTATGGAGAGAATGACAGGTTTTTATATCAAAGGTTGCAGAATCAAGTTCATTTTTTGTTTTGAGATGCCAGCATAACTCTGAAATGTTTTCTTAAACAGTTTAAGCTCTTTTTTGTAGCATTTTGAAGGGCTCCACTTGGCTAGAGATAAAGGGATTCATCCTTCCTTTGTTACATATATAGGAACACTATAAAGTTAGATATTGAACTTTGGTAGTTATTAGTTGGCTTAAATTCCTTGGGTTTTTTTCAAAAAATAATGACCTCAACCTGTATAGCAAAGTTGAAGGTTTGAAAGTGCCATATCTGCCTTTCCACTATGCATAAGGCCTTCTCTTAGCAGAACAACCTGAAATGGAAATAAGCACATAAAACAAAATATCCCCTGTGTTTGCAAAGATCTTAATATTCTGAGTCTCCGGGACATAATCCAAAATTCCCTTCTTCTAGATGAGCACTATTAATCTGAGCAATTACATAAAGTGCAGGCAGTGATAGGAAGCATGATTGCTGCAGTTTGTTTTAGGCATATATATCCTTGTTTTAGGAATATAAATCCTGCAAACTGGATAGGAAAAGCACAATTTTAGATGCCTCTGTGCCTCAAGACTGGATTATAATGATACTCAGACAAGGTTTCTATTCCTCAAACCAACATCTGCACCTACACTTGGATGACTCTGCATCCGCAGAGTCCCATCACAAAGGAAGGCAATGTTATACAGCAGGATCACTCGAAATCTAGAAGTCCCATCTTAAAATCCAAATGGATCAGTCAGTTGCTTTTCAGTTTTCAATCTCTAAAACAGAAAAGAACAGCTCTTCTCCATATCCAAAAGAGGTGCTGGAAAACACCTTGGGTTTTCCTCTTTGGTGTTTTTCACTGCATATGAAAACTGACAATGGGCTGTTATGACAGAGATTAAATTTCTTTGTGGAAAATAAGAAACTTGTCAAAACTATAGTAAAAGCAAACATGTGCAGATGATTTATACATTTTTCATTCATCTATAGAGAAATTGTAGTGGAAAACACTCCAAGTCTATTAAAAATATTCTAAATGCATATTCTCAAGAAAATTATGACTATAATAATAAATGCATTACCTCAAAAGGATAATTTGATCCTTCTGGATGGATAATGTACAGACCACTTGGAGTTTTTGAAACTGAACCAACAGTATCTTTAATATGAGTGCAGTCCAAACCTAGAGAAAAAAGGTACTCAAGGAAGTTCATGAGCAAAATATGTTTTAAAAAAATACAGATTAATACAGGAATATTACTTTTCTTGGTGGCATGAATTATTTAAATTATAATTTGCTTCTCATGCAAATGTTAAAATCATGCTTTTTCATGAATTTATCATGTCAATTAAAATTCTCTGAACACCACTGACCTTCTAAGTACAAATGACACTTTATTGACAAAGTTCATTCTAGTCTTAATAGATATGATACATAGCTATATGAAATCAAAGATTATGTATCTGGGCCCATTTACATTATTTTTACATTTTTTACATTATTTTTTGCATTTTATTTATAACACCTATACTGTGAAAAAGACATATTATCTGAGAAATGAAGTCTTTTTCCTACAGATATTTATACTTGTAAAAGCCTTTCCATCTTAATGTATACATAAAAAACATTCTATTTGAAGAAGGAATCTGCAGATGCGGAGCACACCTTATTTCATTGCAAATGAATGTACCATTCAGCAGCCTCAGATCACTTACCAGCTAATAATCATACTTGGTATTTTACATGAAAATCAGCATGCTAAATAGGATGCCCAGAGTTGTCAGTTGCAAATCATTTAAAGCATTATTTATGATAACACTTTTAAACAGTTAATTAAGTTTCCAGAGTTTATATGTTACTAACACAGGATAAATATCAATGTACAATTGCTTACCTTTGCTTTAATTAGCTCCTTTTCAAGATACAAAGATAAAAAGGGAAGGTGTCAAGACTACATCTGAAAAATACTTACCATGAGATTGAACTGCTTTATAAGGAAGTGGATCCAGATGTTTTCTCAAAATTACTGTGTTCAAAAGAACAAGTTTGTTCATAAGTTCATTTACCTGCAGATTCAAATAGTAGATCTTTAATTAGGTTGCAATGAGAAATTCTAAAGATTTTTTTCTGACTCCTAGTAAGCATAATCTGAAGTTAATTTTTGTGATATGTAGTAATTTGTACCAATGTGAAGGAATGGTCCTCCACTTTCTCTGCTGAAATGTATGACGCGAAGTTGTGAAATGGGGTGCTTGCCATTCTTCATAGAAATGGAACTCACACCCTACCAGAGGTACAAGGACTGGTGATAAGACACTCTAATCCTACTTGTTTAATGACAATTTAATGGTTTAATGAGCCCTATTTTTCCTCAGAAAGACAACACCTGCTGTGAGAAATAACAAATACAAATCTTTATAATAAATAAAAAAAGTACCTGATTAGAAAGGTAATCCAGTGAAGACTGTTGATCATCCATCATGTCTCTTACCATTTTTTTTGTACTTCTGGCATATTCAGCAAGAGAGTTCTGCAAATTTCCTTCAGAAAGAAATATGTTCATCCACTTTGTTTTCATAACTCTAGAAATATTCTTGACTAAATGACAACATACTTATTTATGACATCTAAGTGAATACTGAAGGTGTTTTACCTTACAGCACCTAAAAGTGAAATGAAAGTAATATAGAGACCACAGATTAAAGCCAAAGGTGCTAAAAATTTCAGACTTTCTGACTGCAGTACAAACATCTTAAGAAGTGATGGTTCTTCTCATGCTTTGAAGAATAAAGTAACCTTATCCTTGGGTAAATTGGACAGCCATTTAATGGATATCACAGAAATATAAATGTATATGATAAAAGACAGATTATATAAGGTTTCTTGTCACCTTACATTTGCTCATTCATTGTACTACTCCTGGTTTTTACCCTGATGCTAAAAATCATGATCATCATCATTATCATAATGGCATATTATTAATAATATATATTTTGAAATCATATGTGAAAACCAAGAATTTGCACAATTATTTTCAGAGGCTGATTTTTTGTTTGCTGTGTAGTTTGTCAAGCTAGTGCATAGAGAATATCCTGTGTAAACCTCCATTGTAGTAAGGTGAAGTACACATTTACTCCCATGTAACTAATTAATTAATTACCTCCCAATTTCACCCCCACACACAGTTATGATGTTTAAATGAGCGACAGACATCCTCCTCTTCCCCTCTAATTGAGCAAGATACTGACATTCAGAGCATAAGAGATCTAGGTGGGTTGTGTGGCTGCTTGGCTTTGCCTGTCTTCACCAATGATTATATTTTGTCACACTAGCTGCATCCCTAAAACAGGGTACCCCAGATTTCCTGAACAACACACAGTTTGGGCAGCAGGGTCACAAGGCTTTCAAGTGTGCTCAAGAAGATTTAAAAATGAATTTGCACAGCATAGCATAGCAAAGGAGAGGATTGCATAGCATGGCACTGCACAGCTCATCACTAAAAGTATTCTTTATGAATACATACTGCACATGTAATGTTTGTCCCCTCGTAAAATTTTAGCTTGAGCATCACATGGTACAAGGCATTGTTCTTTTTGTTTTGAAATATCTGCAGATTTATTTTTCTCTTCTGCCTGGAGTGGTTCCTCCACAGCTCCAACATTCCTTGTGTCCTGTTGTACCAAACAATGGAGGGGGAAATAAACTGAACATAAAGCACACATAAAATAGCTCAGTCTGTCAAAATGAAGCAAATTGATTCACAGGACTTCCTTCAAAACCTTTTTTTAAAAGCTTTGTCAAGCAGTAATTGACAGAGCTGAGACCAAAACAGATTAGATGTTCTCTGCTTAGCCATGCCTCACAAGAAAAAAGTAGTGTCAGAGGTAAAGAATAACCTCTATAAATTAAAAAAATACCACCACCATTTCTGGTAAGGTATTCTACTTGTAAGCACTGTAAGTGGGAGGTAAGGACTTGCAAATCCTGCATTTTAGGAATTACCACACCCAACAGACAACTCAAATGAACTTATTTTCACTGGAAAGGAGTAGGCTTTTGGAATTCCCACATATTAGCAAAGTACTTTTACTCTTGAAAATCCCTAAATTCATTATTTAGACACTGATCAAGGAAATATTTGCAGAAGTTTTTAACTTAGGCACACAAGCAATCATGAGAAGATTTTCAGACCAATTCAGCAGTAAAAAAATATTTAAATGTTCTTACGAGGAAAGAATAAAGGGAGAGTATTCATGGACACACAATTATCTGAAACAGCAACAATAATAGCATTAGTAAAAGTAGTTCCACATATTACTGTTATTTTAAAATTATATTTTCATATTTAATATCTTTCCTTCCATGGTGCCATATGACATAAAATAAGGGAATGCCTCTGAATCATCACTTAAAGAAATTACTAAAAGTAATTCCCAAAACATGTGTCATTGTCAAAAGACTAAGCAACATATTTTCATATGAGTCTTTGTTTGATGATTTCATTATCTCAGCAAATCATTTGTAGTATGTTCCTATATTGTGTCTTCAAATGTAAATAGAATCCTTTAGAAATGTGAAGATTTTAATGAAAAACTAAAGTTTTTTTGACTTGAGTACATCTTCATCATAGTTGTTCTTTCCTGCTCCAGTTTTCTCTTTCTGCAATTGGTACTACACAAGCAAGCACTGAACAGAGTTTTTTCCCGATTTTTGCTCTTAAAAAGTAAAAAAAAAAAAAAATTACAAAAATTTGTTAACAAAGGAATTTTACAGAAAAATGTTTCTGAATTACTAGTATAATTGCACTTTGTTCCAGGAGAATGATAGAGAAGTAAAAGAATGTGTTTCTTTAATTTTGAAATAAGCACAAAATAAAGAAAGAAAAATTATGCAAGAGTTATAAACAGATCTCTAGAAACTTATAAATAGAACACTTGAAAGTATGGCTCGTTCCAGGGCTATCACAGCTACTCACCAGATGTTCAATTAAACACTGTTAAGCAAATATTTTTAATCAATATTTATCTTTAACAAAAGCCAACATGAAACAAGCAATTAAGTCTGATCTCAGCAATTCAAGCAAAAAACTGACTTTGCCAAAACCAACAGTTACTCTGCATTCAAAGTGATGCAGATGAGATTAAAAATATGACATAACAACTGAGCTGTGATACAGGACATTAACTCCAAAATGTTCTAATATACTGAATTCCTGCAATTTCAATTTAGTTTCTCTTCTCTACCTGAAAATACTTGATTCTTCTGTATTTTCATATCTGTCTTGAATAAGGCAATCCATATTTTTAAAACATCTGTCACTTTTCTGAGAAATCATTCAGTTACATTCATTATCTTATCTGAACAAAGTAATAGAAAATCTTACCTTAAGTGAACAAGGTTCATCATTATTTATGCCAGTCTCTCCTAAACCGAACAAAAAAATATTAAGACAAATAAATGAAGTTACCCTAAAGTAGTGGTTCATCTTTTACTTGAAGAAATGCAAATGTTTTGATGGGTTTCAAATTTCTGTGGAAAGAATTGTACACTATGAAGGCCTGATCTAACTATTTGGGAATGTCTACAGCACAAAGGGCAGCCAACACATCACTCCTTTACTGCCTGGATTTAATAAACCACATTTCAACTGCACAGTAGATTTTATATATTACTACTTGCATAGTAATATATTTTCCTGAAGGAAAATTACTGCTTATCCCCTCTACATGACACATCAAAAATATATATTTTCATTGTGATAAACTCTGGCAGATTTTCTTATATGCTATTTTTGAGCATTTGTGTATATTTGGCATGAGTGTTCTGAGCTACTTGACAGAAAAAAACTAGTATTACTTGATGTTTTCAAATTTTTACCAAGGTTTTTTAACATTAAAATTAAGGAGTCTGTATTGCTGTGGTGGTAGTGCACTAGAACAGGCTGTGGAGGCAATTTTGGAATCTGTCATCAAAGTAATTTCAAAATAGAAAACTGAATAGACATTATTTTAAATTAGTACTTCAATTAAATTGAAAATCTTTTACCAGGAGAATAATAGCAGTATTTTGGTCTCACTGGTAGCCCACCCATTGCAACACAGGTACTGAGACTATCATTCAGTACTATGATTTTTATCCCTGAAAAAAGTCAAAGTACAAGAGAATGGCATGAAAAAGAAGAAAATTAAATGTAGTCCACAGAAGCTTAATTAAAACTATGAGGCACATAAGATTTCACTCAATTCCACTACTTTTGTATCTTAAAACTGGATCTGACAATCTAAGCCAAAACAAGTTCAGAAATGTCCAACATATTTAGAGAATTTAGGCACATTAGAGAATTTAAATTGCTTGTGATCTGGCAGAATAAATGAAACCTCAGCTTCCAATGTACCACTGGGAAATACACTGTCTAAAGGATCATCAGAATACACTGTTCAACTGCTCCTTACACTGGTACAAGACAATGTTCCAAATTTGGCTTGATAATGTGGTTAATCTCCACATCTATCTAAAGCTGGAATACACTGGAAATAGCTTTTGCTACTAAGATTTGTTGGGAGCAACCAACATTTCTTGGGAGTGGGGATTAATACGCTTTTTAATCCAATGTTTTCTTTAAAATTAATAGCTAAACTGGACTAAGAACCTGTAACTGTGAAGACTATATTCAACTGCCTGTGAAATTCTGAACTTTGGCTCCTCTGCATCTCTCAGAATCAAATTTTAAATTTTTTCTAAAGTACCCCATGGTACATAATAGTTTTCCAATATGAGACTTACTAGGGTTTAATTGGTGCATCAGTTGATGCTCTCTCAAGAAGATGCAGGTTGTAATCATTAATTCAGTCTCAGGACAAAGGTGAAAAGATTTCCATGGCTCTCTATATATCACGTTAAGGGCAGTTTTTCTTCCTCTTTCTATGTACATCAATAGGCAGAATGACAAATTTCAGGCAGGAATGGTTCTGACAACAGTCAGAACATTAACTTCTCCCATGCAGTTGCCTACACAGCTTAGAGAAAAACTATAGGGCATCAGCAGATTAATCCTCCACTGGAACAAGAAGGAAAGAAAAATATGTTTCTGCAGCAGCACAGCTATACCAGCCTTCAAATAAGACTTGCAATAAATTCAGAATCCATCCTACAAAGTTTTAAGAGCTGATCTTTATCCTTCACTGGAATATCAGTGTCCAGCCCAAAGTAAAATTTATGAAACTCCTTTCAAACCTTCCATTCTGTAACTACTTAAGATCAGGTTTCTTGCTGCCCCAGAATAATCATACACTACTGAATTACATGGCCCTCAGTCTGTCACCTTCTTGTCCCACAGGCTGAAAGATGTGACGTTACTCATGAGGAGAAATTATCCAATAACCATAAAGGAGGACTATGAAAACTTAATAAAAAATAAACAAGGGAAAGACAGAAATATATATAAACACTGAATAAGTTCTGAATCGCAGAAGGTATCTTAAGGTGAATCTGCAAGTGGCACTGCATTACATGAAAATTTTCAGGAAATCTAAGGAAGCTCAAAATCTGTCAGTGGCATGAGTTGACCACGGCCTTCAATCTTGCTAGATATGACATGGGCCCAAATTCTGCAGTTTCCCAGCTCTGCCTCAGTTCTGCTTGGGTGACTCTGTTTTCCAACCTGATAAAGCCTTCTACTGCATCCTAAGAGAAACAGTGCATTTTATCAGGCAAACTGGGATTTTAAATGTCTGTGTGGGTTGAAAAGCACACAGCGGTAAATTCACAACCACTTTTCCCCTTTCTGCAATATAACAGAGCAGGTGGGGCAAGAAATGGTGAATTTGGGGTTGATTTCCTGAACTAGAGGTGAAAGACTTCCATTTTAGGGTCATCTTCTCAATGGCAGTAACTGGGATACTATAAATATTAAACACATTTGGCAACCTGACCACCACTGGTCTTGACTGCAAAATGGTAACAGCAACACCCACTTCCCAAACTGTGCTACAAATACGGGAGAGGGGTCTGTGCAGAAAAGTATTTCACAAATGCAGAGTACTATTTTTCACCTTCCTAGTCAAAGACATAGAACAGCTGCACAGTGAAAAAAAAACCAAAAAAGAAAGAAAAAAAAAAAAAAAAAAAAAAAAAGGAAGAATTGGTTTAAGCTCAAATACATCAGCCAAGAAATGTCTCGCCAGGAAATCACCAAGGCATTTAGCCTGCTGCTTACAGCTCATCCAAGGCAGGGCAATATCCCAAGACTACACACCCTTCTTTGCTTGGGAAAAAAAAAAAAAAAGAAAAAAAAAAAAGTTTTGCAGTCTTAAGAACAAACTGGTGTGGGTTTTTTGTTTTTTGGTGGTTTTTTTTTTAACTTTGTGTAACTATATTTATGGACTTTTTAATATTTTTCTGTAAGAGTCATCATTTTGTGCATCAACTGATGCACAAAACATCTTTTGGTGGTTGTTTTTCTTATTTCTGCATCCTGTGTTTAAAAAATAAAAAATAAAAAGTTTATGGAGTTAACTCCAAGTCTCCATCAGGCCTAAGAGGCACCCGCAGAGCTCTGCAAACACCCACCAGAACGCGTTCGCCCGCACCCCGCGTATGTTGGGGGCTTTTAAAGGTCATCCCGCGGTTTACAGCGCTGAAGAGGATGGAAAGCCCAGCGAGAGCCAAGCACCGTCCTTGGCCGGGTGTCCGGCACCTCTCTCCCGGACGGGCCGGGCCGGCCCGCGGGGAGAGTGCGGAGCGATCCCCGCTCGTGGCTCCCACCCTGCCACGGGCACCGACAAGACCTGCCGGGCGAGGCGGGTCTCGGCCCGCCCTGTCCCCCGCGCCAGCCTCGAAGGCAGCGACTGCTGCGGCAGCCAAACTCTCTCCGCGGCCCCGCCCCGTTGCGAAGGAAGCGGCGTCGCCGGTTGCTACGAGGCCGGGCCGGACGCGCAGAGCGGCCCGGCGCTGGCGGCGGTGCGGGCCCGGCGCTGACCCGGGCGCTGCATGGAGCTCGGCGGGAAGCCCGGCGGGGCGGCGCGGCGGCAGCTCCTCTCCGGGGCCCCGCAAGACCTCGCGGGAGGGCGGCGGAGCGTCCCTGTGTATCCTTCCCGAGCCGGTCCCCGACCGCCGGGGCGGGCGTTTCTCGGGCCGGCCGAGCCCTGCGAAGGGGGGCCGGGGCCGCGGGGCTGCGTGGGGCCCGTGTGGGGCGGCGGCGGGGCCGGGGCGGCGATGTCCCAGCCCTGCCTTGCCCCGCGGCCAGGGACCGCCTCAGGGGTGTCTTCAAATTAAAACTTGTACATTGCGGGTTTTAAACTGCCGTGGGAAAGTTGACTTCTCAAACAACTTCGGAGTTTTCTTGTTTTCCCTTTTCTAGGAGATTATGCCACTAGGATTAGTGTTTTCCATCCTAACTTGTGGGTTCTTGTTTTCTGAATTTTAGTAGTACGAACTACTGACACAAAGTCTTAAGATCCGCCTGCACAGTGCTACTTAAATAATTACTGGCATGATACAGGGTCTGTGGAGAGCTTTTATTTAGTGATGTTAATCAATCTCCGTGTAAACAACTAATCCTTTAGGGTGTGGGAGTGTGTGTGTGTGTGAGGGGTTGTTTGCTATTTAACATTTTCCCTCTCATATCTGCATCCTTATGTTACGTGTTTAGATAACTACACAAAATGTCCTTCAAATGAACATAATACAGGTGGGATTTTTCGGCTGGTGGTATCATGAAAGATGAGTGCAAAGCTTCTCCTAAAATCCTTTTTAAAAGTAAAATGCAATTACATTGTTTTCAAGATGAGCAAAAAGTTAGTTATGACTGTAACAGACAGTTATGGGACCTACTCTATATGAGATCAATTACAGAGGCTATTATATCTTTTAATGAGCTGTTCCATCCAGTTTCTGTTGTCCTTAACACAGTCTTAGGGGTAGAGATTTAATATTTCATTTTGAACAGGATTTACAAGAAGAACGTCGGGCATTGAAAAAGGATCAAAAAATGCATCGGAGCAAGGCAATGAAATATTTGATGGAGACAAACAGAAGAAGAAGGCAAGTAACTAGGGTTCCTTTAATGGAGGGTTGTAAAAAAAAAAGAGAGAAAACCAAACCAAAAAGTGTCAAAACCTTGAGACAGATCAATATATCTCCACTATTTTCATGTTCACTTTGATAAATAGCTCACTGCTTTGGCCTAGAGGAATCTAAGCTGAAAAGTTTCACCAATTCAGTTTCTTGCTATAGGACAAATAAAATAAAAAGAGCAATATTCTGATTTACTCGCTAATTTTTGGAAACTCACTGTAATCACATCTCATATACACTGAAGGTAAGTAGCACTTTCATCATGTGGCTCTGATGTGCATTTCTAGTGTTCTGGGTTTTATTAGCTTCGATGGAGGATGGAAAATGCACTCAGCTGCACAGCGTGGGCCAGCAGAAGGCAGCTGTTGCCTTCTGAAGTGTGTGTTTTTCTGCCTGCATGGCATAACAGCTGCACAGCCTCCCCTTCATGCCGGGGCTTTGTGCTCCCACTTCCTAATAAACACAAAGCAACATTTTTCTTGTACAGGATTATACTTATAATAAACTTATTTTGTACTGACATTTTAAACAGAGCTTTGCAT